CATGGGACAGGTATAGGGATTGACAGGCTTGCATTCCTTTAGGTGTACAAAACCGACAGCTCGGAGTTCTTGTTTCAGGATAAATATTACGGTCGACGACTGGATCCATTGCGGTTCAGAACCACGTTGGGCGAATATCTCGATAATGGCCACGGCTGCCAGATCCACCATATACCCATCATTCTTCGGAAGCTTCGACGACTTGCTGGCATCGTCCGATCTTTGGAAGACTATAGATTCTATGCCTCGTCGTTGCTCGTGATATACGATGGCGATCCATCAAGCTCCAGGAAGATTGACGTCCGCATCATTGACTTTGCTCACTGTGTCACCCAGGAGGACGTTCGCCAGCATCGCGATGAGTTCCCGTTCCCACCGCGACACCGCGGCCCCGATTATGGCTATTTGCTAGGTCTCAAGAGCCTGGCGGCATGTTTTGAATGGATATACGAAGAGCATGGAGGATCCATGGATGATTTAGATACCAAGGACGACCATGTTTTTGATGACATTGGGACGGACGAAAGTCGCAATGTCCATACATCTGCATTTGGTCGAGACCTTTAAAGAGCTGCGCTCGATCTCTCTGTCCCCCCTAATCCCTCTCAAAAGACACTTCTTGTACAAAAGTTTTACCTCCCGCATTCCCTTGTAATGTTTTAGAAACAAAAAAACATCTCTTCTTTCATTCAAATACACGGTGCGTAAAGTAAGAAAGTATTTACATTTCGTTGGAATAACCAATGACCTTGGTAAGTTGTTCAAACTTGATGCTCTCGCGGACAACCACAGTCTTGGCTTCGTTATCCTTGTTGATGGGAACCGTGACAGTGTCGCCGCTCAGTTGCCATTGCTGCTTTTCGCAGAACTGCTTGAACGCGTCTCCCTTCAATGAAAGGTACGATTCGAGCACAGGAGCGCTGATCGTTTGGTACGACATTGTAACGACAAAGGCAATCACCTTGCGGATGGCATCCTCGAAACCAACGATATCCTTGACCAATCCCTTATCCTTTTCCAACGTTTTCCAAAACTCGGCGTATCGCGACTGTTCGAGCAACTGTTGCAAGTGAGTCAACCGTTTCACTTCGTCCACGTCCTGAATATTGTCTCGGTTACAAAAACGAAAAACGTCCATCCACACTTGCTTCTTTTTTCTTTACCACATAGTCCGTCAAAAGGTACATGCATAAATTGTAATCAGGTTTGGGGATGGCGGTCAACGATTTGGCAAGAACGTTAATGATAACTGGTACTTTGCTGAGCTGTGGGTTGAACTGATATCTAAAAAGTATCGTGTCAATGATGAAAACTTGTCAAAGTACGTCTTTTTTTTCGGCTGAGGAATTACAATTTCAGTAAGGCAAGATTGGCCATTAAATCATATTCGTCATTTTTGCATTGACCGGCCAGGTACTCTTCCAGTACTTCAACATTTTCTGGATTGTAGCGCTCAACGCCATCAATCATGGTCTGAATCGTTTGCGGTCGTTCGACGGTGGCTGCCATCCTTGATCAGTCGTACACACGAAAGAAGCGCCAAAATCGGGTGGCTTTGTGTCTGAATTTTGGTCCCAAATCGATGGATGGTTAGAATACACTTTTTTGAGGTGATCGATTGTTCCCCACCGACTTGTATCTACAATGTATGGGGATGATATATCCATGCGATGCGCTCTGTAGACTCAACCAGTAAAAGTCGGGATAGACGATGGCCAAGTAACTCAAGTATCTGGTTTCATTCTTGTCTTTATTGTTGTCAATAATGGGATTGGAGGAACATTTGAAATCAAAAAATGGGAACATAAAAGCAGCGTGCCAAGAGTACTTCCTTTTTTTGTTCTTTAGCCTTTGCAATGACAGAGAACCAAGCAGTAAGCTGTTCACTCCCGTGAGTAGTACGACCTTCATAACTGTATCATTAATTGGTTCAGAGCACGGGCTCACCCCCCTCGCCATACCTGGCATACGTTTCGTATGCAAGTCCTGCTGGCCAGAGCCGACTTGAGGAGTCATGTCTGACATGCTGACACGGATGACGCGTGTCCCAATCTGGTAAGTAAACACTATCAACTGTAAATTTTTTACTGAAGCCCAGACATGTGATATAGGCCCAAATCGAGTTGACAGCTCTGTTACTATTTTGTTGTCACGGTTACAGAAATGTTGTCACCCATCACATTTCTTATTTGGAATTGCACTATTAACTATGTCCGGGCATAAAGTACCGAATTAGCTTTTATACCGATTGGTCTTATCTTTTGGACAAGTGGTCACCAACTAGTTGAAAAAGTATAAATTTTATTTGGAAGACTTTTTGACCTGCTCCAATAGGTATATGGTCGCTTCCTTGCGGTACAAATGTATAGATATAAAAGGGTATCTGGTGCCATGTCTGAAAAAACCCCTTACGGGGAAAAAGACAGGCCGATATGGAAACGTTGCGTAAAGTTATAGAATTAGAGAGAAGAAAAACAGTGTAGATAGAATATCAATAATGTAAACGTGGGTATCACCCTAAGTGTGGTGGTGTGTACGTGCTGATGGTCCGCCTTGAAGAGCTTCTTCCGGTGCCGGTTCATCGTCATCGTACTGCGCATCTATATGGCTCAGTCTATCAACCTTGCGGAGGACATGCAAAAGTGCGGGCCACGCCTGCTTCCATTGGTCACCAACTATGTAGACTAGGAGCTAGTGAAAAAAATAAACTTGGCTTTTTGTACCGTATAACCCAACGAGCAAAGATGCATTACATCTGTTAATGACTGACACGAATTCAATTTATTGATTAGCAGTGCTCAGGAGCATCAAAGGCACTTGAAAACAGGGATAATATACATCAGTTCTTGAAACCAAAGCGATGACGACTTGACAGCGGTAATCAACCGGCACTTTTGAGAATTTCTGCCCGAAACCGTCTTGCAGTTGTTGGAAGCCAAGTCTTGCTGTCTTGGTAACATAATGAATCATGTGGATCCAACTACCTTTGGTATCCCATGAATGAAGTAACACATATCGACTGCATGATGCTGTGTAGACGTATCTTCAATTCAAAGAAAACGTCGATTCACCTGATACATCAAATTCATTCGAGAGGCAGCAGCACTGGCTGGACTACTTTTGGCAAGCGATTACGGTGCTGAGGTCTAAAAAAAATTGGGATGCTCTTATCATCGTAATGACCAAAGCACAACTTGCCCCATTTTCGTTTTATAAACTCGACGTCAAATTGGCCAAGAAGCCTTCAGCAAAGTTGGTACTTCAATTAATTAACACCATTACAGACATGGTGCCCAATTCCCTTCGACCGCCATTCGGCAATTCCAGAAATCACAGTGCTACTTAATAGCCGCTAGCCATTACGCGTACGATCTCAATATACAAAGAAGTTTCGACCGTGCAGTTCGCGACACAGAGCTTATAATCGATTGGGAGCCGGTCAGGGCAATTGGATACCTTCGTTTGGGTGACTTACATAGCATACAAGGAAGGCAATTGAAGTGTTTGAACTTGGCAATGGCTCAGAGTGCTCTCCGAAAACTATTATCCGGTATAGACCTGGCGATTAGGCAGAACACGATATACGTTGATTCTGTTACAAAGTTTCCAGTCGAATTGTAGATGGGGTCATTTCGCCATTGCCGGACGAGTCGAAATCCAAGTATCTCGGTGTCTCTGGTGTATGGCGAAGCAAGGTTTTCAAGCGCCTGGAACAGGTTAGTCCAGTGACGACAGCACAGAAGCAGGTGGATTGGGAGTTTGATACGTCCATACATGTTGCGTCTCACATCGAAACTCGACTGCCAACACGACAGATTGTTGCGGCTCCACTATTTGCTAGGCACGAAAAAGAACAGTTTATAAAAGTAGAATTTCTTAAACTGGATAAGATTATATAGAGCACTGATCTTTAACTAACCTGTTTCTTGCAAACGTTGTTACAAACCATAGTATGACGACCACGATTATTTTAGTTATAAATGTTTTCGGACAAGTGTACAGCGCATTAACCGAGCTGGTGTCAGATCAATACCAGACCAGCATCGCGATAACATTGGGGGACCTGCTTTCAGTTTGCTCAACGTGACAACTCTGCCGAACATAGCATCGACTGACTTACCAGATGTGGTTGGCAAGGTACTACTTCTGAAGGCTGCTAAAGCTGATGGGTCGATTTACATGCATCTGCACGTCGACAAAATCGCCAAGTAAGATACTTAGAAGTTGCATCTGTATTTCCATCAAATATGCTGTCTTTGACTTGGTGGTTGCACAGCTTCAGTCCTGGACGCCATCGATATAGTGTGTCTATCTCTGTACATGTTTATGAATGTGTTCTGAATGTAGGAAACAATTTTATTGGACTTATAAAAAAGCACAGTTTTATGCTCAAATCATCACTGTGCCAAAAATTAGAAGACACAGCATTTCAAGATCTGTATAATACTGAGATATGTGGATACTACCTACTCAGCAGACATACTGGACCTCGTCAAAGCGCTGATGTATCAACCGTAAGTGAAAATCTATCAAATTTTGCTAGTGAAACAATTTAATACGGCTACTTAAAAGTGTTTATACCCTAGCATGGAGATTGCTCTTTATATAATGTAAGTACCGTAAATAACTTCTAACTTTGTCAATTTACTTCTTTTTAAAAGCTTAGTTTGCTTTCTAGTAGTATATGTTATAAGTACTCAATGGCCTCAATCTACATAGTTTTGCCAATTGTCAATGCAGCAAATTAGCAAAAAAAAGTAAAATCACTTTCAACAACCAGTATTTCTTATAGTTGTATACATAATATAGACTATATATTATATTGGTGATAATATGGATAATAGAATACCGAAAAATATGACTTTCTTTTGAACAAATACAGTTGACCGACCGTCAATGTGATTTGATTGGCTAAAACCACGGTTAAACTGTTTTTACGAAGGCTAAATTAATTTTCCGGATTTTGGAATGTCTTTTTGTTTCAGAATAATACACTAAGTGGTTGGTTGGTGTAGTTGGTTATCACATCTGTCTCACACACAGGAGGTCACCAGTTCGAGCCTGGTATCAATCACGATAAATCGCTAGGAGGTGAACTGGCGGCATTTTGCACTTTTTGTAAACCAACTTTTTTTCTTCTGTCGTAGCCAGAAATGGCAGGCATTCCTTTTTTGGTCTGTACCACCGTGAACACGTAGTTGCTTCTTGTTAAGACACGATCTCTTCGAGACGTAGTCTCTGGTCAATACAACACGTAGCTCTTTTCCTGCTGAACACGTATATCTCTATCACATATTTAGTATAACCAACTAGTTAGAAAACATATATATATCCCCCATCGTTGTAGACAATAAAGGCATCTATCAAGTCATCTTTATTCTTTTGTTTTCCTTCGCCTAATTCGCTGATCCATTGGCTTCGGTATTATCCGCCAAAAAGATTACGACAATTGGTAGCGAAAGTTATTTATGAGCGATCCCCGATATCCGAGACAATTCCAATCACGAGCACAGTATCCCGGATTCCGACCGACAGAAACACCTCTTCTGGATCTAGACGAAACGTCAGCAACAACGAAACAGGAACTCACCTTTGATCCGCCAACAACAAGAATGGAACAAGAAGACACCACGACAGTCATTCTCAAGGCATTGACCAGACTGTTGGAAAAGCAAGACTCGAGTCCAGTTTTTCGCGCCCGCGTACATGAACCTGACACGTACAATGGCGACCGTAGCTTGGATGCTGCAACTGGCTGGATACGCATGATGGAGCGATATCTCGAGATGGCACAACTATCGAAACATCAGTGGGTTAACTATGCGGCAACATTCCTGCGTGGCGAAGCAGAGACATGGTGGCGTCAGCAAGAGATGCTAGCCGATGTGGACGAATGGATCGAATTCAAGAAGCGGTTGTTGGCCAATTTCAGTCCGCCAAATCGTTTGCAGCTGGCACGCGATCGCTTGGCCGACTTGGCACAGAGGGATTCTGTGGCAGCGTATGTTTCCCAGTTCCAGGCAGCTTGGTCGGCAGTACCTTCCATGACGGACGAAGAAGCATTGGATCGTTTCAAGAGAGGGTTACAACCAGTAGTCCGCGTACAAGTTATGCTGCAATTTCCAAAGTCCACAGATGAGGCTATGCAGTTGGCTTTGGCTGTTGAAGCGGCACATCAACAAAGTCAGCTTCTATGGCAACAAGCACATCCATCCAACCATGCCTTTCAGCAGCCGATACAGCAATCATTCCAGCAGCAGGCTATCCCTGAGTACTTACGCTCAACTGGTGTCGCACCAATGGATCTGGATGCAATTGGCTCTCGACACAATCAGTCATGGCATGCATCGAGACAAGGCTCATCGAATGGACAACGTCGCGATGGTCGTCGTGATCGGACTTGCTTCAATTGTGGTGGCATTGGTCACATCCAGCGAGACTGCCCATCCCCACGACGACCAAGACAAGGCAAACAGAGTTTCGGGAACCACCAGTCGGGAAAAGGTTTAGCGCGACGGGATTAAAGGGAGTTCCGCCGCGCCGTTCACAACCATCCCTTAATATGGTTCAGCACGCACCAACCACCGTTCCAGAAGGAGATCTGGTTGACCTGTCGGATGACTGCGAGCCTGAGGCGAAGGCCCTACAAGACACATTGGAGCAAGACAGTTCGTACTTTGATTCATTGTTATCAATAAAAACTACCGATTTGCCACTGTACTCGATGTTGTGTGATGGTCGTCCTATTGACGTGTTGATCGACTCTGGTGCCACTGGTTCGTACGTTAACCCTCGCCTCGCCGATTCTCTGCTATGTTGCACCGTGCCTAGACGTCAAGTGGAAACTGCTGGAGGCCATGTCATGTCCATTGATCGAAAGGCGACCCTGACACTGGATGCTCAAGGATATCACCATCAAGCCAATGCATATGTCCTTGATACCAAGTTTGATTTAATCCTTGGACGTGATTGGCTCAAGCAGATTCAGCCCGTACCAAATTGGGAGCTCGACACATGGAAGATCAGTAAGGGTGCTCACAGTTATGTACTTCGGCCTCGCCACATGCGCCAAGGCTCTGAGCTCTCTTATCTGATATCGCACCGTCAAGTCCAGCGCTTGGAGCGCAGCAAGAGGATTGATGATGTATTTGTGTGTTTTGTCAAGGCCGAGGACGTCAAGCCTACACCATCACCGGATAGCAAGTTTCAAGAACTGGTGTCCGAGTTCAGCGATGTATTCCAGGATACGTTGCCAGGGTTGCCACCTGATAGAGGGGTCCAGCATGTCGTTGACACCGGTGATGCCGATCCTGTGTCTCGTCCACCGTACAAGATGAGCCCACTCGAGTTGGATGAATTACGACGACAGTTGAAAGAGTTACTCGACTTAGGACTCATTCGGCCTAGTTCTTCACCTTGGGGGGCACCGGTGCTCTTTGTACGAAAAAAGGATGGCTCTCTGCGCATGTGCGTCGACTACCGCGCTACAAATCGTTTAACGCGTCGCAACAGCACGGCGTTGCCTCGCATTGATGAGTGCCTAGAGAGGCTATCCAAGGCGACACGATTCACCTCATTGGATTTACGAAGTGGCTACCATCAAGTTCGGCTTCGACCTGAAGATGAGGACAAGACGGCGTTCAACACGCGGTATGGCCAATACTGCTGGCGAGTTCTTCCTTTTGGTTTACGCAACTCGCCTCCAGTGTTTCAAGCTATGATGAACGAGGCATTGGGTGACTGCATCGATACTTGCTGTCTACTTTACCTCGACGATCTGTTGGTCTTCAGCAAAGACGAGGAGTCACACTATCAAGATTGCCGTCGCGTGCTGGAGCGGTTGCGTGCTGCAAAACTAGTGGCGAATATCAAGAAATGCGAGTTCAACAAGGCGTCGTTAGAGTTCTGCGGCTTTGAGGTGTCGGCGCGTGGTATTCTCCCTTCCAAAAAAAAGGTGCAAGCAATTCAAGACTGGCCGGAGCCAACCAATGTTCAGGAAGTGCGCCAATTCGTGGGTTTGGCAAGCCATTTCCGACGATTCATTCGAGGGTTCAGCGCCATGGCCGCGCCACTGACCGATTTGACCAGAGGGACAGGTGTGAAGAAAAGGGCAATTACGTGGACTCCGGCGTGTCAGGATGCTTTTGAGCAAATCAAGTCCGCTATGTGCAACGCTCCTGTCCTCCAGCCACCAGATCCTGCCCTGCCCTATGTGATCGAATGCGACAGCAGTGACTACGCTGTGGGAGGTGTGCTGCTTCAAGAAGGCCCGGATGGCCAGCTGCACCCTCTTGCGTTTGAATCGAAGAAGCTCTCGGAGACCGAGAAACGATATCCAGCGCAGGAACGGGAACTTCTGGCGATTCTTACAATGCTCCGTACTTGGCGGTGTTTCATTGAAGGCAGGCCCTATGTGGTTCGCACTGACCATCACCCGCTCAAGTATTTTCGAACTCAAAAGAAGCCAACCCCACGTTTGACCCGTTGGATTGCCGAAATCGAACTCTATGACCCGGACATCCAATACAAGCCTGGTAAAGACAATCACGTACCTGATCTGCTTTCAAGACGAGATGGCGCTGCTTGTGTTACCACGGAGCCCAGTTTGGAACCTGATTACCTTTACGCAGTCAAGAGCGTACAGGAATCAGACTGGCCAAAATTCTATGCTGTCCCCGAGGAACAATGGCCGTCCATGTACAAAGATCTTCTGCTCAAGCACCAAGACAAGTTCGTGGTGCACGATAGTATGGTCTTTCGCAAGGTCAAAGTCGGTGATGCCATCCAAGAGATCCGCTACGTCATGTTTGCTCGCCGTGCGGATTTGGTTGAGCAGTTTCATAACGCATTTGGCCATGCTGGGAAGACAACTGTATATGACTTGATGCGCAAGCGTTGGTGGTGGCCCGATATGCGATCTGATATTCAAGAATGGCTCGCCCTTTGTCCACAGTGCCAATTAGCCGCGAATGCAGATCGCACCATACATCATGCGCCTATGAAACCCTTGGAAGTTCCGCCTGTTTTTTCTCGCTGGCATTTGGATTTTGTGGGGGAGCTCCCAACCACTGTCAATCATAATCGTTGGCTGTTGGTTGCCGTCGACTATGCTACCAACTGGACCATTGCCCGTGCCATTCCCGACGCCACTGGTGAAGCTATCGCCAACTTTCTATATGAAGAAATTGTCTTGCCGTTTGGTTGCCCTGAGGAAATCTGCACGGATCGTGGTGCAAATTTCATGTCCAAGGTGCTAGCAAATTATTTGGGACGCATCAAGGTCAATCACATTTTTACATCTGCTTTTCATCCGCGCACCAACTCCAAGGTCGAACGCACAAACGGCATTCTCAAACAAATGCTGCGTAAGTATACTCAAGGCCAGATTCATCGCTGGGATCAGTTCGTCGCTCCTGCCGTTTTTGCCTGTCGTGTACGCAAGCACCGCACTACCGGGTTTAGCCCATACTTTCTGGTGTATGGTGTCGAACCTCGTCTTCCTGGTGATCACCTTCGGCCATTTGTAGTGCCACCTGACACTGATCAAGAAGAAGCACCCGCTATTACAGGGCGTGTCCCGGAGGTTCGTCGACTACGTAAGGCACGTCTAATTGCAGAAAACCGACTTCGAGACAATGCCGCCAAGGATAAAGCCCGCTGGGATGCTACTTTGAAGCCACAGAAGTTTGTTGTTGGAGATCATGTCTTGTTGCGACATGAAAACAAGCTGAGCCTCGAATTCAACTGGAAAGGCCCTTACAAGGTTATTGCCACAAAACCCGACACGGACATTTACAAGCTTCAAGATCTCCAAGGCCAAGTTTATTCCTCTTGGGTGCATACTGACCGTTTACGCCCCATCTACATCGGGTCTGGTACTCTCAAGGATCCTTGGTATGACCCCACCGTTACACGTGCTGCCGAACGACGTCACTTACAAGCTGCTGGTCTACTTGCTATGTTGTTCGAGGTCGACCAACAGTTTGGAGGGGAGGTATTGTCGTAGCCAGAAATGGCAGGCATTCCTTTTTTGGTCTGTACCACCGTGAACACGTAGTTGCTTCTTGTTAAGAC